GTATCACTCTCCTGCAGAACTAGCATTTATCGCTACAGGTCGTCTAGTTTCGTTGTTTTGCTGGTGATATGGGTGGGACACTTCTGACGCAATTAATATGAGAATTCCCCCAGCGAATTGGGAGAGACATGTTCTGTATCTCTCGGAAAAGGGTCATAAATTGCATGAGAAGGTAGGGCTACCAACTATAGCGATGTTGGATTCGTCATATATTTTATGGTGGTAAGTGCAGAGGTAAGGTAAAGGCGGAAAAACCTAACACCATTGCCCAACCGACTGGTTAGGGTAGCCCTGGCGTCGTCAAAAAAGAAGCGGACTGAAATGGGAGAAGTGGCGGGACCGTTTTTATGAAGCACGATGTAGGTAATTCTACACGGTTGCTTCTGAAGCCGGTGAAACATGGCTGTTCTCAAGTATGTTAGGAACCGTTACAAATTCCCTGAATTGTTGTTAAAATGCAAGGTAGTGTTGCTAGTAAAAGTGAGTAGATTATTGCTGTCAATCCTATTCTGTTTAAATCTACTTCATTTTGAAAAAGTATTATTCCATATGAGAAGCTGCGAAACACTTTGTTGTAAAGGGGAGAAGCCATAAGATAGCCCCTTCTTCAGAATTAACTTGGCCCTGTTTGAAGTTGGAGCTACCACTTCTGTAGTATGTAGTTTTTCCCTCCTCCGATGAGATTTTTGATTTTGCATAAGAGCTCCTAACGACCGTTCTGTGCTCTATCCTTTTTTCGATAGTGACCGCATTTCTTACGCGATAACAGCGGAACGTGACTGTTCCCAAAGCGTTCGAGGTTTTTTCGTTCAGTATTTTCGCTTCATCTGATGGCCTATTAGCCTCACAGTGTTGTCAGAAGGCTGTCAAAGAAGTCTCATTCAGAACGTGTCTCCGCTCACGAAACAGGATAGCGAAAATTTTATAGTCCTCATGTGACTATCACGTACAATTATTTGATGTTAATGGGATTACCTTCTGTAGGTTCACTAACATTTACTTACACATGATTTCAGTCTGTGATACTGGCTCGTCATTCAATTTGGATAACGTCGAGGTTTTTGTCGACGGAAACCAAATTACAATAAACAATCCTGCAATCAGCTTCTCAACAACCAAGCGGATGATTGGAGCAAAGTAGGTTCCATGTTAGTTGATGGCCAGGCTCATACCACTTTGTTATCAAGAGATGGGCATCAGCTGGGTGCGGTGAAGAGAGTAGGGAAGGGATATGCATTACCACAAAGTGGCGTGGGCGTGTGTAATCTCACTCCACTTTGCTTTCTCTGATTTCTGCCTTACCCCTCCTGAAAGGGGTGGAGTGCGAGACAGAGGCGAGGAAGGTGGTGCGTAAGCCATGATATGAGCAAAAGTCGGTAATGAGTGAAATTGCAGCCACACGACCTTCCCGAAGGTAACTTCGCCCATAAAGGACAGAGAGGTGCAGTCACCCCCGTCTACCACACCAATTAACACTGTCATAGGATGATCTTTGGTGTCACAGTGCCTTCTATACATATCGAAGAGTGACACCAAAAATAAACAAAGCGCAACTCCCGTTATTGACAAAAATTTCATTTCTATTTTCTTTTCAGAGCAGATGTTGTTATTCATCAGTACATGAAGCCTGGTATGATAGATGACGACCATAAGGAAGTTTTCGTAGGACCAATGAAGGTGAGGCTGAACTTTGCCAAATTTCAAAGTACTTTCCTGCGCCCATATTCCTGATCCCCATGTCCACACGTGATCAGGGGTGAACCTGTATTCTCGCTGCGAACTATACCCAGTGGACCTAAATCATAACGAACCGCTCTCCTCATTCTTTGTCGGACAGAGCTACCGTTTACTGGCCTTGCCAATAGTTCTTTACCTCAATTCCTAGTGTCAGGAACGGTAATGATGGAGGCAGATTCAACAGGTTACTAAGAAATTTTATGGCGGACAATAAAGCAGCAACTAACCTAGTGATTCTCTCTTCTAAATGCTTTTCTTCTTTCTTCTCCTTTCTCCTCGTCAAGCCTTGACCTCTTTCCCTATCCCACTTAATACATTGTGTAATGCATAAATGCGGTTGTTCTGTAAAGCCTCGGAGACATCTCATCGATTTCAGCTTTGCATCTTGACCAAGGCGACCTTGAAAGAAAGCATGCGACGTGAATCCATCTGTGAGCAGGACGTGATTCTGGAACAATCAGACGACTTTCTCGCCTAGCTCCTATTTCATATTTCATGTTAATAAGTTTCCTTCGTTGGAGAAGCATTCAAGACCTTCAACAGGACATATATTGATGTAAACCGTGAGGCACTTTTCGCCTTAGCTCTATGAAAAAATACACATGTAGTTCATGTGTAGATAATTTTACAGTAATTCTGTAATTATTTGTGAAAATGAGATATTTGTGAGAGCTTTCTAAAATTTTCTATTTATTTTATTGTTCATCCTCACTCATTATCTTAGAGAAACAATGAATGTTTCAAAGCTTTTCATGCTATATACTGGCTTCACACATTCTTCATTCTTGCATACCTATGTTATTTTGTCGATCAGGTCATACTTGGCGAAAAGCGACAACAATATCTTAAAATAGTGTTTGTACGAAGAGATGGGATGGAAGGCATGGAGTGTTTTTTCTCTGCTCCAAGTAAGAGCAATCTCATATCATCGCCTACGCCAGTCGCTGCCATAGTATGACCGCTGTCCTAGCGGCATTTGTACCGATTTTGCTCGGGTATTGTTTACTGTGTGACTGTTTCATAAATTGTTCATTTTTTATTGTTGTGCCAGAAAAGCATATTCTAATTGGTCAAATAATCCTATTCTGATCTAATATATACTAAATTGTGAGGTATACCCGTACTAATCATCGACTGGACGTGGCTTTAATACTCCTAAGCTGTTCGGTAACGATAGCGGTGCCGTTTCTTTGGGTGGGTTGGCTGACAACTGTCGTTTTTCTCGTTGCTCCAGAATCGATGAGTTGAGGTACGGTACTGGTTTCGACTTCGGCATAAGCTTCTTCTCGGCAAAATATCCAATCGTTCCTATCACGGCTGCAACCGGTAGAACCAAGTAGTACGAGAACCGAGTTCCTGCAAAATTATCGTGTAAACGTACTGAACTGAGCAGGTACGATTGAAACCATTTCAGAATTTTAAATGGATCAAGTAACAAAGGGTGATACGTAAAACTCGAATGACCGCGACCAGACCAGTTTGTAACCATGGGACCAGTTGCTGTGGTGAACTTAACACTAATATCCATTCTCTTGAAAATTGTACGGTAAGCCGGTAACAAGATATTCTTCACCTCGTCCCATTCAATTTTTACCGCAAGCACGGCTGCCATTTCCGTATAGATTATAGAACACACAGTTGCAGTATGGAAACAGCAAGCGCCTCAACACCAGTGGTCACCCATTAAATTCTTTGAGTGGGCGCCATCATTTCGTCCCTGTCGCATGCTAAAGTACTCCAGAGGATTCTCCTCATTCAAAGCCGCGTGCTAATTCATTTCTTTCA